TCTGTGTATTCCTTCCATCTTTTCTTGATGCATTCTGCATCATTCAACAATTTGCCCAGAGAATCTTTCACTAATGAAATATTAGATGCAAGTATTTATAGTTCTTTGATACCTGTGGGTAGCTGGCTCCAGGAATCCTCTGTTGTTGTTGTAAGGTGCCACAGAGTTGGCACCGACCCATAGCGACCCTATGCACAACAGAATGAAACACTGCCCCATCCTGCTCCAACCTCACAATCATTGCTACATTTGAGCCCACTGCTGCTGCCACTGTGCCAATCCATGTCATTGGGGTTATTCCTCTTTTTCTCTGACCTTCCACTTTACCAATCATGATATCATCTCCAGATACTGGTCCCTTCTGACAGTATGTCTGGAGTATGAAAGATGAAGTCAAACCATCCTGGCTTTCATGGGGCATTCTGGCTGCTGTATATCTTCCAACACAGTTTGGCTTGGTCTTCTGGCAGTCCATGCTACTTTTAATTCTCACCATAACTCAAATGCATCAATTCTTATACTTCTTTATTCACTGCCCAACTTTCACATACTTATAAAGTTATTGAAAATATCATGGCTTGGATTAGGAGAACCTTAGTCCTCTAACTGACATCTTTGCTCTTGAACACTTTAAAGAGGTCTTGTACAGCAGGTTTGCCTAATGCAATACGTGGTTTGGTTTCTTGACTATTAGTTCCATGAGTGTTGGTGGTTCATTTGAGCATAATGATGTCTTTGACAACTTCAATCTTTTCTCCATTTATACGGATGTTGTTTATTGGTCCCATGGTAAGGAATTTTGTTTACTTTCCATTGTGGTGCAACCCATACTGATGGCTGTGGTCTTTGGTCTTTATCGGTAAGTATTTTAAGTCCTCTTCACTTTCAGCAAGCAAAGGTTGTATCATCAGCTTATCGCAAGTTGTTAATGAGTCTTCCTCTATCCCGACGCCACGGTGTTCTTCTTACAACCCAGTTTCTTGGATTATGTGCTCAGCATACAGATTGAATAAGTATGGTGAAAGAATACAACCCTGGTACACACCTTGATGAATTTAAAAAAAATCAATTTTCCCTTGTCTGTTCAAACAGTTGTATCTTGGTCTATTTACATATTCCTCCTGAGCACAATTAAGCATTCCTGAATACTCATTCTCTGCAATGTTGTCTGTCCATAGCTTGTCATGATTCACACAACTGAATGCCTTTGTATAGTCAATAAAGCACAGATAAACATCTTTCCTGTATTCCATGCTTTCAGCCAAGATCCATCTGACATCAGCAAGGATATCCTTCACTCCACATCCTTGTCTGAATGCATCTTGAATTTCTGGCAGTTCTCTATCAGTGTATGTTTACAGCCATTTTGGGATTTTATTTAGCAAAAAATTTACTTGTATGAGATATTAATGATATTATCCAATGATTTCTGCATTCTGTTGGATTACCTCTTTTTAGAATTGGCACAAACATGGATCTCTTCCAGTCAGTTGGCCAGGTAGTTGTCTTCCAAATCTCATGGTATAGATGAGTGAGGGCCTCTAGTGCTTCATCAGTTGGAAATTTTCAATTTGTTATCCATGAATTCATGGAGCCATGTTCTTTGCCTTCAATGAACCTTGGACTTCAGTACCATTGGCTTTTGACCACTGTTGAACATCTACCATTTCTTTTTGGTACAGTAACTCTGTGTATTCCTTCCATCTTCTTTAGAGGCTTTACTCAATAGTTTGCCTATAGAATCCTTCAGCATTGAAACTCAAGGCTTGAAATTTCTTTCAGTTCTCTTAGATTGAGAAACACTGAGTGAGTTCTTCGCTTTTGGTTTTCCAAATCCAGGTCTTTGCACATTTTGTTACAATATTTGACTTTGTCTTCTTGAAATTTTCTATTTAGCTCTTTTACCTCCTCATCTTTTCCATTCATTTTAGCATCTCTATCCTGGAGATCAACATTCAGAACCTCTACAGATACTAATACCTTAGGATGCTCAATTTCCTTATACAAAATGTTATAGTATTTGTATATCTGGGCCTCTCATCCCATATACTTAAAATCATCTCTGCTGTTAAGTGCTATCAAGTTGGTTCCAACTCACAGTGACCCTGTTTAAGGTTTTCAAAGATTGGCTTCTGGGTTTGAACTGCCTACCCTGTGTTAGTTATCCAGTGCTTATCCTACAGTGCCATACCAGGACTCCAAAATCATCTGTAGATTATGTATAATACCTAATATAATGTAAGTACTGTATAAATAGCACATTACACGGCCCTTAGAATTGCTTTGACTATTTAGCTTACCCCTTTGAATATTTTTGATTTGTAGTTGTCTGAATCTGTGAATGCAAAATCCAAGATTATGGAGGGCCAATTGAATTGAGTTCTGGTGTGGTGCTGTAGGATAACCACTTGACTGAAAGGTTGGTTTGAACCACAAGATTAGTGGTTCAAACTCACCAGCGCCTCCTCAGAAACCCTATACAGGGTTGCCACGGGTCAGAATTGACTTGATGGTACTTATCAACAACAATAAATTGTATATCCTTTACAACTATCATAAATTACAACTATTTTATGAGTAAAATGATTGCTGTTCTAACCCTAATATAAAATACTTGAGTGTTTTAAGAATACTTCTGATAAGGAAAATTTTAGTTGGAGTCCTGGCATGGTGCTGTAGGATAAGCACTGGACTGTTAACCACAAAGTCATCATTTCAAATCCACCAATAGCTCTATAGGAGAAAGATGAGGCTTCTGCTCCCCTAAAGATTTACAGCCTCAGAAACTCTGTGCAGGGTCATTATGAGTTGGAATCGATGAAAGGCAGTGAGTCAGTGAGAGATTAGATTTTATGTGAATTATATTCAAGTGATTATTTCATTGTTGAATGAATGAGATACATATATCTGCCATACATTTTTGCTTTTTAATAGTAATGAACATAGATGGTCAAATATCTACTCATTTCTTACAAAAGGAATAACTGACATAATGCCCAGTGTTTTAACTAATCTTCAAAAACTTGTATCTCCTCATTTATCATAATTATGAATTGTAATTAAAAAAAATTATAGCTAGAAATGATAGATAGAATATATATATAGGTAGAAATAGATGGGAGATTTCTAATAAAAAAAAATAACAAGCATCGTCATCTAACAGAATATTTATATTGAGTCACCAATGACTATACTTTTCTGTATTTTTAATAAAAGCTTCTTTGCAAGAATTTAATTTTATAGAATTTTAGAACTGAAATGTGATATCTGATTAAAATCTGGTGGGGAAAAGTTAATTCATTCAGAAATTATAGAATTATAAGTAAGGTGGTTGTAGAAATTTAGTAATAAAAATATAAAATCTGTCCTCAAGGAGCCTGTATTTTGGAAAGGGAGAATGTCAATATACTATTAGCAACATAATGATAAACAATAAACCAGAAAATCCATATTACATAATAAAAATTGAAAAATAGTCTACAAATTGGATAAAATTTGCTGTGGTGGACTGAGAAAAAAATGAAAGAAAAGCAAGTTTGGAAGGGAGAGAAAAAGTACGATGGTCAATCACAAAAGAAACTAAGCTCTCTTGTCCAAGCAATATCAGAAAGGATTTTGGTGACCTGAGTATTTTAGCATTATGTTAAGTGCCATCGAGATGGTTCCAACTTACAGTAACCCTAGATAGGGTTTGCAAGGAAGGGCTGGTGGGTTTGAACTATCGACCTTGTCATTACCAGTCCAGTGCTTATCCTACAGCACCACACCAGGACTCTGCTTAAGTGTTGTATATGCTGAAGGTGTTAGGCATAGAGACAACTTCTTAATGGCATGTTAATTCCCTGGAGGCTGTAAAGGAAAACCACCTAAAAAATAGTTGATAGGATTGTGTAACTTCAATGTCTAAAATGGTTTCAATAACAAATTTTATTTTGAAAGTATGACTTTTGTTTCTCTTTTATTATGTTGTGTGCCATTGAGTTGGTTCCAATTCATAATGACCCTGCATAGAGTTTCCAAGAGCAGCTGTTGGGTTTGAAATGCTGGCCTTGTGGTTCGAAGTCCAGAGCTTATCCTATGGTACCAGACCAGGGCTCTCTTTTGTTAGAGAAGTTGTAAAATTAAGTTCTCAATTAAAGAAGAAAATGACAACTGTGTCAGATGATCAAAACTGTCTGTCAGAATCTGTTATTCTTGCCAAGAAGAAAGTCTAACCTATTTCAGTATTCTCACCTCAGTAAGATAAGCTGTTATATAGCCTTAAAAAAAGGAAAAAAGAAGGACATGACATCTGAGAAATTTAAAAAATTCATTAGAGTAGTAAGAATACTAATTGATTAGAAAATATGAGAACTAAATAAATTCATGAAGTAAATTTTAGGTTTAGAGATATTGGGATGTGCATGCATTTGTGATTGTTTTATTCAAATTATCATGTATAGTGTCTTACCTTCCCCTTCCCCCATCTCTGTTGTTATTAAGTGCTGACCAGTCGGTTTTGACTTATAGTGGTCCTGTATATGGTTTCTGAGATGGTAAATATTTGTAGAAGAAAGCCTCATCTTTTTCCCATACGGTGGCTGTTGGGCTCAAATCACCAGCCTTGTGGTTTGTAGTCCAGTGTGTATCCTCTAAAACCCATCTTGTTGTTGTTAAGTGCCGTCGAGTCGGTTCCGACCCATAGCGACCCTGTACAGGGTTTCCGAGGGTGTAAATCTTTACGGGAGTAGAAAGCCTCATCTTTCTCCCGCGGAGCGACTGGTAGTTTAAAACCCATCTAGTTCCCTGGAAATCAGTTATTGATAGAGCATGCTTACTTTAGGAATTTCCTCTGATACAGATGAGGATGATTTTTCTCATCCTAAAACATACATATATATAAACATATTAATTCATAAGAGTAAGAATCTCTCTTTCTCTCTTTTTTAAATTTCCAGGCATAGATATTCTTCATCAACTAGGCCTTGGAGACAAAGATGTAGGACACTCAACATCAATGACAGCGGTGCCATCATCATCTATACCATTACCTCAGGGGGTTCACTTAACAGAACCAGGCGTCATTTTAACAAATGATACTTATATTGAGTCACCTCTCATGAATATTTTACCTGTCAAGTTAGTGCAGCCATTTACAATATTAATTGGGTTACAGTCACATAAAGTAAACAATGCATTTCTCTTCAGCATTAGAAATAAAAATAGACTGCAATTAGGAGTTCAACTACTACCTAAAAAATTAGTGGTACACATTGGAGGAAAGCAGTCTGTATTTTTCAACTACAGTGTTCATGATGAATTATGGCACTCATTTGCCATTAATATTAGAAACAAAGTTATCTCCATGTTTGTTAAGTGTGGAAAGAAATATTTTTTCAGAGAGACTTTTTCAGACGTTCCGACCTTTGATGCTAACAGTGTGTTCACCTTAGGAAGTATAAATAATAATTCTGTCCATTTTGAAGGAATAGTATGTCAGTTGGATATAATTCCTTCTGCAGAAGCATCTGCGAATTATTGCACATACGTGAAACAGCAGTGTCGCCAAGCAGATACATACCGGCCTGAGGCAAATCTTACACACACAACTATTATACCATCTACAATACTGGAAACCTCTCCTTTGCTCAAACGATTTGGTGAAAAAGTACTGTCTGAGCATACATTGACTGATGGCAAAAGCATTCCATATGTTATAAATAATGATTCTGCAACAGCGCATAAAGAACCAGAACACAAGGTACCAAGATCTCCATTAATGTCTCTTCCTTTTGGGAATATGTCTGCTGTGGCTTTCATGAACAGTGGAATTCAGGTCACAGAAATGACCACTGAAAAACATATTCAGACAAATTTAAGCCATTCAGCGACACATCAGCACCTAAGTGAAGCAAGAATTAATTCAACCAACAGGAAATTGACTTCTCCTCTAAATGCATCTAACGTCACACATGATGATGGAGAAACTAGCTTCTCACCGTTTAAGAAGATGTCATCTATTCCCTCACATATAGAACAGGATGCAATTAATAATCAGAAGAAGGCTATTACAGCAAATCTACACACTAACGAACTCATGGAAATGCAACAGATTTTAAACACAACCTTATATAGAGTGACTGGTGAGCTTTCTGTGGATAACCACCTTGATCTAAGGAAGGAAGGAGAATTTGACCCTGACTCCACCTATCTCATTGAAAACAGCTATGAAACTGAGCTTTATGATTATTATTATGAAGATCTTAATTCAATGCTCGAAATGGAGACTCTGATTGGGCCAAAAGGGGATACTGGACCACCCGTAAGTTTTGTTTTGTTTTTTTCTTTTAAAGTACGTCTAATGCATTAATTTATCATATATTTCAAAAATAATTATCTGGATTTAACAATAGAGAAAAGACCAATTCTGTCACAAAAATGTTTAATGGCTACTGTAACAATATTTATGTGTTATAGTACATCTAACCAAAATATAATGCTGGCTCAAATACTGTACTTTTTTTTTTTTAATTGGCAGGATAAAAGGGTTAATTAATTCTGGTAAAGTATTTGGCAAACTCTTATGTTTTTCTTGTTCAGTTGAAATTCAACCAGTTGAAACTCAAATGCTACCTATATATCCCAACTCAAAAAACTCATTGCCAGTGAGTCAATTCTGATTCACAGCAACCATATGCAGAGTTTCCAAGACTTTAAATCTTTACTGGAGTAGATAACCTCATCTTTTTCCTGAGGAACTGCTAATAAATTCAAGCTACTGACCTTAAAGCTAGCAACCTAGCTATCTTTTTGTTAAGTGCCATCAAGTCAGTTCTGACCCATAGTGGCACTGCATAGTGTTTCCAAGGAGTGCCTGATGAGCTTGAACTGTCGACCTTGAAGTTCAAACTGACCTTATGGTCTAGTGCTTATCCTATAGTGGCACATCAGGACTCCAGCCCAGTTATACATATATATGTATGTATATATATATATATGATGGTGGTGGTTGTGTGTCATAGAGTCAGTTCCGACTCATAGCCAACTTGTATAGGATTCCCAAGACAGTCAATCTTTACGGGAGCAGAAAGTCTTATCTTTCTCCTGTAGAACTGCTAGTAGTTTTGAACTGCTGATCTTGAGGTTAGCAGCCCAACTCATAACCACTATGCTACCAGAGCTTCATACACACACACACACACACACACACACACACACACACACACACACATTTGTTGATATTGTTATGTGCTGTGGAGTGGGTTCCGACTCATAGTGACCCTGTACAGGATTCCTGAGGCTGTAAATCTTTACGGGAGCAGAAAAACCTCATCTCTCTCCCACAGAACAGCTGGTAGTTTTGAACTGCTGACCTTCTAGTTTACAGCCCGATTCATAACCACTATACATATATATAATTGTTCTGTGGAGCCTGTGTGACTCAAATTAACCCTTTATAGGGTTTCCAAGGAGTGGCTGGTGAGTGTGAACCACCGACCTTTATGTTCAAACTGATCTTGAGGTCCAGTGCATTATCCTTGCAATGCACTGTAGAATCAGCACTGAGCTTCAAATCACAGGTTGGTGGTTCAAAGTCCCACCAGCTGCTCCTCGGAAACCTGATATAGGGTTGCTTTGAGTCGGAACCAACTTGATGGCATTTAACAATATATATACTTGCACACACATACGTATTTATATACATGAGTATATTTATGTATATAACAATGTATATATATGTTCAAAGTATACTTATGTATGTTATTGTTGTTAAGTGTTGTTGAGTCAGCTCCAATGCATAGCAACCCTATAAAGCGTTTCTGAGGAGCAGCTGGTGAGTTTGAACTGCTGACCTTGCAGTTCAAACTCACCACTGGACCTTTTGTTCCAATGCATTAGCCTGCAGTGCCACACCAGTACTCTTATTTATGTATATGAGTGTATATGGTTGTTGGTGGTTATATGCCGTGGAGTTGGTTCTGACTCATAGCGACCCTGTACAGGGTTTCCAAGGCTATAAATCTTTACGGGAGCAGAAAGCCTCATCTTTCTGCCATGGAACAGTTGGTATTTTCAAACTGCTGACCTTGTGATTCGCAGCCTTATTCATAACCACTACGCTACCAGAGCTCCCTATGAGTGTATATACACATACATACAGAGAGAGCTATGTTGTTAAGTGCCGTCAAGTCAGTTGTGATTCATTGTGACCCTGTATAGGGTTTCCAAGGAGAATAGGGTGCTTAAAATAAATTTAAAACTTCATATCATGAGTCGGACAGTCTTGTGATCTGACCTCATCTTAACTTCTGCAACTTCATCTCTTCCTACTTTTTCTTTGCTCTGTTAGGTTTTTTGAAGTTCTTCAGTTAGACTACATTTTTATTGTTTTTTCTTACTCATGCCCTCATTCATTTTATTCTATGGAATATTGTTTTCTCTTTTTTTCTTATTCCTATTCATAGTGTTATGTCATTGTTGTGCCATTGACTCAGTACCAACTCATAGCGACCCAATGTACAACAGAATGAAACACTACCCAGTTCTGAGCCAACCTGACAGTCATTCATTATGTAGATCTAACTTAAACACTTTCACAAAGATGCTTTCTTTGGCACTATGTTATAAGTCTACCATGTTAATCTTTTCTCTTGATTGCCTGTTTTATTCTTTTGTGTCACTAAGTCTGTGTTTACCTGTTCAATGTATATTGTTTCTTCTATACTGTGAGCTCCATGATGGCTTGATGCTTAATAAGTTTATTGAATTAGTGAATGAATAAGCTTCCAAAATTAACTGACCAGCTACTTGAAATATTGGATGTCTATCTTAGTGCCAACAATAGTCTCTAAGTTTCAACTCATAGCTACCCTGTATAGGTCCTCCCAGGCTATACATCTTTGCTGGAATAGGAAGCCTCATCTGTCTCCCATGGAGCAACTGGTGGGCTCGAACTGCTGACCTTTGGGTTCACAGTCCAGTGATTGTATGGAGTCACAGTGCTCCCTACCAGTGACAGCATAAAGCATCTATTGAGTGCTAACTGTATCTCATGTGCTTTAAAAAGATGATCTCACTTGATCTTCACAACAACCAAATAGGTAATAATTATCACAATCATTTTATTGATGAAAAAAATGAGGACTAGAGGTTTTCTTACTCAAGATCATACTTCCTTCCTAGAAGTATGGTGCCAGAATTTTGAAAGCTTTGTTGTTAAGTGTTGTTGAGGGTTCTGACACATAGCTACCCAGTATAGGGTTTCCAAGGAGTGGCTGGTGAGTTTGAACTGCCGACCTTGTGGTTCAAACTGACCTGAAGGTCTAGTGCTTTAGCACACTGTGCCACAGCAGGACTCCTTTTGAAACTCTAGGAAGCATAGTTTACATTTTCTAGGTAGATTAAATTAGTGAGGTAGCTTGAGCTTGAGAGCCTATTAGGAAAAAAGATTTCAGTTATAAATCAAGAAGGCCAGTTATAACTGTATTTATTTAAAACTTTGTATAAAGTATATATACAAAAAAATTTAAGAGAACAAGCTTCATATTGTAGTTGTTTTAATTTTACAGAAAATATTGAAGTATTGTTGGAAACTCGGATTTTTCTCTCTTTCTGAACTCCTTTTTGTTAAACTAGGGTGTTATTCTTTGAAGAGTGAAGGAAAAGAGACTCATTCAATTTCCTATACAATACTATAAAATGGTAAAGGGTAGCATAAAAACTCTATAACGAAATTTCTGTTTGGCCAGTCATATAAATTGGAATTGTACCAAATCCTATTAAATTTTATGGTGAAATTTATTATTAAGAAAGTTCGTAAACATTAGAAGAGTTTTTTTCACACATGCCAAAAAATGAATGGTGGTTGAATAGGATTCTATTGTATATATATCCCTATGTTGTTGTTGTTAAGTGCCGTTAAGTAGGTTCCGACCCACAACAACTCTGTATAGAGTTTCGAAGGAAAGGCTGGTGAGCTGGAACCGCCAACCTTGAGGTTCAAACAGACTTTGCAGCCCAGTGCATTAGCCCATTGCACCACACCAGGACTCCATATATATGCCTATGGTGGTTGTGGTGGTTATGTGCCGTGGAGTCAGTTCTGACTCATAGTGACCCTGCACAGGGTTTCCGAGGCTGTAAATTTTTATGGGAGCAGAAAGCCTCATCTTTATCCTGCGGAACAGCTGGTAGTTTCGAACTGCTGACCTTGAGGTTCACAGCCTGATTCATAACCACTATGCTACCAGCGCTCCTTATATATCTGTATCTCTCCCCCTAATAGATCACTATGTAATCTATATGTATATATACACACATAGAGTACTGGTGTGGACCTGTAGGATAAGCACTGGACTGCTAACCATAGGCTGGTGGTCCAAAAATGCCAGTTTCTCTTTGGAAACCCTGTACACTGTTGCTATGCGTTGGAACCAACTCAACTGCACTTAACATATGCACCACCACTATACACACACACACACACACACACACAAACCCCCTACATACACACCTAATCCAAATACACCATATCCAACCCCCATATACACACACACAACCCCCATACATATATACACACAACCCCCATACATACACATACACAATGCCCCATATGTATACACAGACACCCTCCATATATATACCCATATTTAAGCACATGCACCCTATATACACATAGAGGTAAACTGCTTGCTCAAAAGATTTTAAAGTCTTTTTTTTTTCTTCCTTGTAGGTCTTTTTTTCCAAATGTAACTCCTGTTCCCTCAGCAGTTATGGGTGGAACTAAGTCCCTTTACTTTACAAAGGCTTCAGACAAAAAATCTGTTTCTTCCAGGCCATTTCTATCTCCCGTCTTAGCATATTAAACCAAGTATAGGCTGAATGTAGTCTAGATACTTGGAAACCACTTCCATCACACATGTGCATATGACCTTGTCCCCATCTTTGTCGTCTTGTTAAATCACCCAGGCTTTTGCCTCACTTGACTCTTAGTAGCAGATTTTCTCCTCATTTGTAGCATAGTTTATATGAGTCCTGCTGTGGCACTGTGGGCTAATGTGTCAGACTGCAAAGTCATTTGAACTGCAAGGTTGGTGGTTCAGGCTCAGCAGTTGCTCCTTGAAAACCCTATATAGGGTCGCTATGGGTCAGAATCAACTCGATGGCACTTCACAACAACCTATATATGTCTTACATCCTCAACCATTACACTTAACAAAGTAACCTTGTACAAATCAAAAGTTTTTTCTTATTCTTTTATTTTTCTTACCCAATTTTTTTTTATGGTGAAATTATTTAATTTAATTTAATTTAATGGGAAAT